GAACACAACGCACCCTCATTTTGGCTGTATCTGGCCGGAAATATAACTTGTATACATTCATTTTAAGGGTGCGTTATGTTCGGGGGAAGACGGTAGTCAATGGCCCCCCAACAGTTCATTATGCTAGTGGGTGAGACAAACGCAGGGAGCCTCAACTCCTACCCTGTTAAGAAAAAAATGATTTGCAGCTTCACGCACCTATCACAGAACATGTCTTCTGCTCAACCGTACCCTGCAGCCACAAGTGGTTAACGAGGGGGTCTCCACTCTATCAATTGGTGGTGGCAAGTTTGGTTAAAAGGACCCTTGGGGTTTTGTTACAAATGGCATGACAAAATTGCCTGAAAAAATTTTAGGCCTCCATTAACCTGCTCTCCCTGCAGCAAGACAGCCTCACACCATCATGTCACGTCCGTCTGCTTCTTTCATGTCCCCTTGCAGTGATGATAACCAGGTACAGAGCAGGCATTGTCCCCTCCTTTGTCCCAACCAATCATATATACAAAGCATCTTCTTCAATCCCATCATCCATCCATGCACAGGATCACAGCCAGAAATCCACATGTTCTCCACACGCTTATCTAGGACTGCACAAAAGGCAAAGAATACAAACCTCTCCCAAGAAGAGGGCAGAAAGGAGGACGGTGAAGAATGGCTCCAACGCCTTGATCGTATGTGTAAAGGAGACCGAAACCTTCCCAAGGCTGACATTTGTTAACATATTTCCCAATAAGTGGGCAACTGCCAGTGGCAAAATTCTCAGCAACTGCACAACATCCACAAACACATCCACAAACATCCACAAACACACACACGCACACACACACACACACACACACAAAAAAAAAAAGAACACAAAAAAACAAAAACAAAGAGTGAGGAAGCAGCAGAGCCACAGAATCACCTTTGCTCAGTTGTTGGACAATATTATTCAAATTTTAAAACAGAAAAACGACTTCACCCAACTCTAAACCAACCACAACAACCATTCGAACTGCGCTCTGTCAGGCTACACAATATCTGCCCCTTTTTTTTGCCACTGGAGCATACTCTCCTCTTCCTTCCCTTCTCCTTTTGGAGAAACAGGGGGGAGAAGCTGCAAATTTGTATATTAATGTTGCAAACAACAAGAATCCAAAAAAAAAAAAAAAAAAAAAAAAAAAGGCTTCGCCAACCTCGAACAGGGAGCAGTGTCCTGGGTGCATATCTCATTGTCGTAATTAACTTGCTGGTGGAAAGCAACTCGACTGATGCCCCATAAAAAGTGCTTCCGTTCGAAAACTACCACTGTCCCTCTGCCTTGCCTAGCCTCTCTGTTTTCCCAGCCCTGGTTCGCCAAACCTCATCTTCTCCCCAAAACCCTGCTTGCCAAACTGCTGCTTTGTTTTTTTCCAGAGCATTCTTTTTTTTTTTTTTTTTTACAACCAGTCTCCTTGCCAGGATAGGTGATACGAGCACCTCTTCCTGGCAAGAGTCCTGGGTGTTCCGGTGTATTGGTTGGGGAGCAACACCTGTGCTGAAAAGCGGCGGGTCCAGCGTCCCACTGTACATCAGAATGCCTGCCAGCATTGATTGCCCATCTGTTTCCAGGGGATTTTTAACTGCGCAGGGTTAATGATAAATGGTTTTGACAACAGCACACTTTGGGGCAGGTTGGGGGCGCCTCTTAGTCCTGCACCAGACCGCCAGATCAATTTCGTTTCCCTAGCAGCTACGCCCTTCTTCCCGACTTGCCAAAGCCCCTCTTATTTCTCCCATAACTGACTTCTTACTTTTCCCACCCCTGACTTGCCAAACCTCCTCTTATTCCGATAACTGTTCAGTTTGCATTCAGTGGGACTGGCAAGAGACGGGGGTCAAAAACTATATTTATCCACCGGCGACGTCATGCGAGCCGTTAGTAGCATACTTGCAAGCGGACACCGTCCGGGCGGTTCCGCACGTGCGGCAGACCACCAGACCGGACCCGCGCGGCGCACGAATGTGCGCCTGACGACCAGTTACGCCCCACTGTCCCCCCCCCAAAAAAAAACCGGCCCCGTCCGGTCCGGTCGGGGTCCATCCGGTCCGGGGAAAGGGTGCCGCACACGGCAAAGCGAACCGGACCGGACGCTCGTCCGGTCCGTCTGCTTGCAAGTATGGTTAGTAGAGCCCTTGCCAATCGGTTATATGATACCGTCTTCACCCGAATAGAACGCCCGGTAATTATTGCCGCATCTGGACTGAAAGTTGCACAAAATACAGCTATAACGACTGGGCGTTCTATTCGGGTGAAGACGGTAGTTTCAGGGGATCTTAGCCTGGCTGTAGGGCAGGTGTGGCTCCCAGGCAACAGATGGAGCCTGAGCACGGAGCCACGGACGTACAGAACTAGGGCCGCCCAATGGGTGTCGACTGCTAACAAATTTCTGAGTTTACACAAAACAGAAGGGCCTGTCAAGATCCTGTTCAAGTACAGTCGTACAGGTGGAGGTCGGTGCCGACCCATAACTCTTTAAACCGCAAACAAGTACACGGCCCCAGCCTTGCAGAAAGTTTTTGTCGCCACAAGCAAAACTCGGAGGGGCCGCGCGGCGTGGGGCGCCGTTGAAAAAAAAAATTGGCGGCCTCCGGAGTGGTGCGGGTTTCGTGCTGACACCCGCGGGCCGATGTGTGGTGTACTGGTGCTTTAAGGCCCCCGCAGCTCGTGCGCACTGATAGCCTGCAACGATCAATGCGTGAAAACTGGACTTCAATAAAGAGGGGAGGTAGAAGTGAGGTCTATGAGCGAAGACATATAGATCAGTTTCTTTTTTTTTTCTTAAGAAAAAAAAAAAGAAGGGACTGTCAAGAGCCTGATTCCAGCCCAGTTTCCAATTTCACGACAAACCTCTTGTTGTCACAAATTCACAATGCTCGGTCAGGCGTTCAGGGTGGTCGGCCGCAGCTTTTTTTTCCTCATGGCCCACCACCATCCGTTAAAATTGGAACAATACACAGAAGATTAGCATAGCCCTGTGCAAGGATATGTCGAGAAATCGTGTACCGACGAACAGCTCCGGACCTCCTCCAGGCTGCACTGCTGTACCGAGCAGCATCCCCCTTGTATATACCAGCACAAGATGGGAAAGTTGTTGGTTGCAGAGGTGTTTTAAAGCCCCGAGGGCCTGATCCTTGAACAAAATTAAAGAGAAAAAAAAAAAGAGAGAGAGAGAGAGAGAGAGAGAGAGAGAGAGAGAGAGAGAGAGAGAGAGAGAGAGAGAGAGAGAGAGAGGAAAAAAAGGAAAAACGCTGACTCTGTGCGTCTTCCTTTCTAGAAAATAAAGTTGTGGGATGCAGGTGTGCAGGAAACATAGGGATGCGCCAAATTACTCGTGAAACATGAAACACGAAACATGGCAAACGCATCTTCACATAGAAGGTAGTGAGACACGTTGGTCACTAGTCACGCTTGTGGGATGCATCTTGCCAACTTCTACGTCAAGATGCATGCACCATTTTCACATATTCACGACGACCGGTAGTGCGGCGAAAACCCATAGCTTCCAAGACAAGACTGGTACCATATCAAGAATGTTTTGCTACAGGCCTCCATGCACAAAGTCAAATCCTCAGGGCCCTACTTCCTTCTGACACCTCACAAGACACTGGCACTGACATATCTCAGAAATCTCAAGCTGAGATTCGTTTTCGCCTCCGACAGGCATGAGTTTAAGGCTTTAACTTTTGAAAAAACAATTACACATGCATGACAATCTGAATCCGAACGAAGCATAATCCATAAATAGGCATGAGACTTAAAACGATGACACGAGAATGAGAATCATAGACCTGAAGTTTTTTCTAAACGGAACATGATTCCTAAAATAAGCACACAATTGTTTCTTATATAACTTCATAGCTCTGCCAAGACTACCGGTAGGGATTTTATTCCCTCCATATTCAAATCTACATTTCCCAAGCCTGAATCGACTATTTTCTCCACCATAAGATCCACAAGCGTATATCATCTAGCGGCATCCAGTGCACTCCAGTCTAAAACACCCCTCGACAGACTCTACAGGAGATAGTGAATACACGCCCTCTCCCCCCCACCCCGCCTCCCCACCCCGCCAGATGTACACCCAGGTCATTCAACGTCTACCTTTCCATCTTATCAATAGTATATAATCCGCTTGCTGCAGCATACCGACTACATTCAATGGTCCAAACCACAAACTTCACAACACCTAATGTCTTCCTCTGAAGAGGAAGAACACAGCGCACCCTCAACACGACTGTATTGGACGTGAAAGATAGCTTGTATACATTCATGATTGAGATGTATTGGACGTGAAAGATAGCTTGTATACATTCATGATTGAGATGCATGTGTGTTCAAGGGAATGACGGTTCAGTAGCATAATCTGCAAAGCAGTGTGTAACACACAAAAGAATGAATGGACAGCGCCCTTACCTGGAAAATCAGATAATATTTATCATCCACAGCCCGGGGTGGCCCAGAAAGGCATCCTAGCTGACAGACAAGTAGACTGTCCGAGTACTAGACGGATAGGGAACTACCGTCTTCCCCCGAACATAACGCACCCTGAAAATGAACGTATACAAGCTGTCTTTCCGGTCCGATGCAGTCCAAATGAGGGTGCGTTGTGTTCGGGGGAAGACGGTAGACTGCCGGATTCTCCTTGTTGCCACAGCGCCTGCCAGATTCCTTGACTACTACTACCTCCATAGACCCACACACTCTTCCTCAGGCTCATTATTGTGGACCTAAAGCCCCCTCTTTCATATCCTTGACTGAGCCCAAAGATCCCCTTACTGGCTCCTCCTTTCGCCCGTAACCCCCCTCTTCTAGAGGTTGTTGCAAATGAGGTGTTCAGCTCACCTTTGTCTGGCAGCAGAAGATTCTCCAATACAAATCAAGTTTTTTTATTATTGAGCATTCA